AAGAGTGTCCCACAAGAGTGTCCTACAAGAGTGTCCCACAAGAGTTTCCTACAAGTGGCCCACAAGAGTGTCCTACAGAGTGTCCCGCAAGAGTGTCCTACAAGAGTGTCCTTTGGACATATTAGTTTTTCGATCGTGTTTGCATTCGGGTTCGTGGGTTCCATCTTGTTTATTGTTTTTTTGATCAGTGCTTTTCCTGGTAATCTTACTTACGACTTACGGAGGCTCCGAGCACTCTTTGAATCATCCCTCCTTTTAAGACGTTGAAGCCAATCCACTCTTCTAGTGCGCTTGGCTTGCCAAAGGCATTTCACTCTCCATTGTGAGATACATCTCGGAATACACTCCTTGGCTGGAGATCATGAACAATGACTACCCTGACCTAGTGAGGTCAGTCATTGTACCCTGGCGGCAGGAGGATTCTGCCTGATTCTGATGGCGAACTTCAAGATGTCGAGAAAGGGTAAAGAAACGGCCTCTTCATTTTGGGGCTGCGGGCTGCACTGATGAGGTGATCAATGCGCCATCATTCTTTGTGAAGATTTGGAGCATTGTGTCGCTGCTCATTGCTCCTACCACAAGAGAGCACCTTTGAGACAACTTATTTGACTAATGCTGAAGCATTAGCGTCATTGCGTGCAATAGCTTATGGCTAAGCGTTGCTAGCTTGCCGCAAGGAAAGTCCAAATCGTTGGGAAAGATTTCCATCACGTGCTTCAAAAGCATGACGCTTGGAGCCAAAAATGCCGCGAGTGTACTCAGAGTACTCCAGAAGGTTCTGAGTTTTGCCAAGCTTGGCTTTAGCTTTTTTGACCTGGCAGTGGCTTTGGGGGAGAACTGCTTAACGACACTGACATAAGACTTGTTGATCAGAGCGCACTTGTTTGCACTGAGGGAGTCAACCTGGACGTTTTACCGGTCTTTTTGGGAGGCAGCTTCGAGGCCCTGCAAACGTGAGTCATACTGTAGTGACTGGAGAGCAACGAGCAACCATCAATCAGGGCATGAAGGACTGTGACGGGTGGCATGCCTGGAAAAGTAACTATATATATACTGTATACAGAACGTTTGGGAGGACTTTAGTTAGACATAGAATCAAGAGTATTCAATAGATCTAGTTTTGGCTTAGCCTGATACTTCCCGGTTCAACTGGCAAGCAAACACAGTGGCCATTGTTCTTTGACTAAACAGTCAAATCCGCAAAATTAGATCAATGGGCTTACTAGTTGCAAGAGCTAGAAGTTGGTGAGTTGGCAGTCGTCACATCAGTCATAGCAGCTTTGCAGCTTTTGGTAGATAGAGTATACGAAAGATGGTGCATCCAAAAAAAACATGTTCCATTTCAACGGTATCCTTCGCCAAATTCCAAGTTGTGCCAAGCAGAGCAAGCAACTCTTCCTACTAGAGGGGCTTGAAGGTTCGTTTGTGCCATGAGCATTGATGCCATTGAAGCCGTTTTTGATGGAGCAAATGTGCCGCTGGAGACCTGGCAAACCTTGGCGTTACGGCCGGTGCGGAAGAGGCTGGGTGGTTTACTGGCGGCCACTGGTGCAGCGATAAACGTGGAGGTGCCGGTGAGGGAGACGGAGGGAAGACTTCGCGATGCTAAGGCAGTGAGAAGTGGGGATCGCCAGGTAAAGTTGAGACTTAGTCGAAGATCAACCTGTGATGGGATCGAACCTTTTGCCATATTGGGTGCATCAGTGCATTTGGTAGATTCAACTAGTTTTAGCTTGCCAACGCGGGCGGTTTGTTCACGACGATGTTTTGGAGAACTAAGGGCTCGACTGAAGAGCAGCTCGTTGTTGGAACGTCGCCAAGCCGCAGCAGATGAGGTGCTCCGGAAGGTAAATGGAAGAAGCGGTTCAGCAGCTGAAGCTTGCTTGGACGAATGGCTGCAAGGGTTTTATGCGGAGATGTCAGAGCAGGAAAGACTCCAGCAAGCCTTATGTGATGCTTTGCCAGCTGCCGTGCATGAAGTCAAGGTAAAGGCAGCGGAAGGAAAATCACAGATAGTGCTGCTCAAGAGCTTGCACTGGTTGATGCTGAAGTCCAATTATATTGTCCTCAAGGATCGCTTCGGGCTTTGCTTACCAGTGTTGCTCCAGATTTTGGAGAGCTCCACAGACTCCCTGCTTCGTTTCGTTGGGTGGGATGTTCTGAATCTCTTGCTGGATCGTGCAATGGCAGTAGAAGTGCAGAACTTTGGCCCCTGCCTAGCTGATTTCTTTGAGAGTCATTCTCCTTTTTTTCCTTCAAGAAGAGCTTGGTCGCTTAACCGTGGCACCCTTCGCCAGTAGCTTTGTGCTGTTTATTCTCAAGGCCTATCCGGGCCACGAAAGCACCGTCACTGCCCGTGATGAGCAGTTGGAACGGTTCTTGCGCTTCGGGTGCTTTCATTGCAAGGCACAGGCACAAGCGTTCTGCCTGTTCCTGGAGTTTGGATTACTTCCCCTCCTGGCACGAGAAGCTCTATTGTTGGCGCCAAGCTTGCAAGAGATCTCTGTGCTGCTCCTTCAAAGCTGTGAAAGTCCGCAAATCATAGAGGTACTCCTGTCGTGGCGATGTGTATTGCTACTTTTCAGGCGACTGCCGCAACGTTTGCCGCGATACTTTCAGGATATCCTTCTTCGTGTGATTTTTGGCTTCTTGACCTTCGTAGCTTCAGATGCACCTGAAAGTCTTGGCTTGAAAGAATCCCCTGATTCGATCCGTGGATTTCGTGCTCCTGTGGTGGCTTCCATGTCTTCTGCGGAGTGGGAGGAGGCAGAGGCACGACGAGAAGAGCTGGCCGTGGTGCTCCAAGAGGTACTGGAGATCTTAGCAGAGAACACACCTCGGCCTCTTGAAAAGACTCTGACCTGTTACGGTAAATGGTTTGTGTGTATTTTTGTGTGACAACGAGCTTGTCTCGCTCGTTGAAATGGCACTGGCCCTATAGCACCTGTTTTTTCCTTTTGAGGGGGATCAGCTATGGTCAGCTGGTCAAGTAAGGACCTTGAATGAGCTTCAGTCTGGATCCATGCTTCCAGCCACCAATCGAGCCACAGAAGCTTTGTCACCTCAGCTCGGCAAATTCGTGTGCTTCGCTCGCGGAGTCATGGAACCTCTCCAGACTGAATGTGTAGCAGGGAAAAGAAAAGGAATCGCCGTCTCTCGCTTTGGCATGATGCGCAGATACTTGTCTCCCAGTTATCGTTTCCCATCGATGGATATAGGCATGGGTTCCGCTGCTCTAGCAATCTCAAGGCTTTGAATCTTGTAATGGAGGCCAATACAGTAGCGGTTTACATGTATTGTACCTGCTCCCAAGAGAAGCCACTACTAAAGTATACTGAAGTAACATCAGGAGGCGCTGAAGCGACAAGTCAAGTGTGTCAATCTTGGACACTGAAAACGGTCTTACACTATATTGCCCTTTCCGACAGGGCTCCCGGCTGAATGCCACCCTGACAGTGCCCAAAGGCGCAACTGCAGGCTGGGTCGGCACAGTTGTTGGTGAGAAGGACTTCACATGCTTGACATGGCATTTGGGTTCATGTCTTCGTTTTGCCGCGGAAGGAGCACTACCTCGATCGGATTTCGCAAAAAAGGGTCGTTTCCAAATGGGACAAACACGGCCCGACATCCATGAAGCGACGGCCCGACATCCATGGGTCCCATATGGGTTCCCCAGGCTCCAACCTCTCTTTCCAGGTCTCAACTTGAGCTTTGGTGGAGCCTGAGGAGAAAACTGGAGCCTGGAGCGACTGTGCAGGCTGACCATGGCTCGTGCTTTTTTATATCCGCAGACAGGCCCAAAGCTCGGCCGAGGAGGAGGGAGCTGAGAACAACCAAATTGGAATTCATGAGGATCAACATACGGTAGAACGCCCAAAGCCTTGCAAAGAACTTTCTGGGGACAAGAAAGCGTTCTCGTTGACGACGTTGGTGATCAATAATATTCAGGGCCTAAGGCGCAAAACATTCTTTTTGCCAGTAGACCCCTTCAAATGACGCAGCAGAACTGGAATTCACATGCGTACAAGCACATGTTTTCCGCCAACACCGCGGAATTGTCTAACCACGGTCTTTTGGATGGTTTGGGGATGTTTTGGGGATTTGTGGGTATCTTGAGCCCAAGGCTTGTGGCCAGGGCTGACAACTAAGCAGGCGGGTCAATACGCAGTGGAAGCGTCACTGATCGCATAGCAGTCCATCTCACAAGGAATGACACTTTGTCACAATTTGCGCCTGTAAATTGAAGAGCCATGTCGTCTGATATCCTTTCCGTCGTTTCGCGGCCACTGAATGACCGCAAAGCTGGGGCAAGACACACCAGTTTTTTCCCATTGGTGTTGGGAGCAACAGGCCTGACAAGGTGAAAGTGTAGTGCGGGGAACGCAGTGCTTTCCCATTGTATTTGAGGCTTTGGCAAGTTTAGGCCGGCCTCAATATTCCAATCGGATACGCCCTGCCATCAAGACTGGATAGAGCACGACTTTACCGGCGCCGCTTGCACCTATCTGAATAATCCCCGATGAATGATGGTTTATGGAATGGGGATTTGATGCATCTATAAAATGCTGATCCATTGGGTCATTCTATAGAGAGGTACCCCTGGAGAATTGACACAGGGATGTGGATTAATGATTTTATAGAGCGCACATGCTTTGGAACATGTGCATATAAGGAACATGTGGATTCTTATTTGATAGAGAAAAGTGGTCTGAAAGGTCAAGAATGTTTGTGAGTCTGGAAATGCTTTTTATTTTGGAAGTGGGGGGAACAATTAAAGTACATGAGAACCTGGAAAAGCATTTCATAGATATCCCGCACGCTGAAGGGTTTATAAAGGCTTCCCTTTGTAGAAGAGGTCCTTGAACTTGTCAGATTCTCGCTTCTGGAATCGCATTTTGTAGACGTTCTCTCTTTTGAGCTCTGATCTTCTTCTTGTGTGTGGTTTCTCATTTTACAGAACCACTTGTTGATCTCTTTTATCCATCATCCTCAGATAGTATTCGTTTTTTAAAATAGAAGTTAGCATTGTTCCTTGTTATGGATTCCTGAGTTTGGATTTGCGTTTTATATAGCTGGTTGTTTTTGCATTTTATAGAGGTTGATCCCTTGCAAAATATGTCTCTAGAGTGCCCAGCAGGGCACCCTAGGGCACAATCATCGGGGATTCTGAATAGCTCCCTTGGAGGTGTGGTGTTCGGGGACATTGGAACTTCGCCCTTGTACACCTTCAACAGCATTTTTACCGAGCTGCATGCTCAGCCACAAAAGGCTGATGTGCAACAGGCATTCTCAGTGATCTTTTGGACTATGACCTGGATGAGCCTGAGCTATCCTGAAGTAAGATTTGATTTGATGCGTGTTTTACTAATGATTAGGATCTTAGAGAGAGACAAGGCAGGAGTTGGCAATTTATTCCCAGCCATGTCTGTCCCAGAAAGCGCATGGCATGGCCTTTTCGATGCAGAATCATTGAGCCTTTGAACTGGGAACTGGTTCAGTGAGCCAACCATCCCTATGGCATGGCTTTTGGGCACTGCAGAACCGCAACTGACCTCGCCCCCGTGCGACATGAACATGCCATGACGTGAACGTTGGCAGAGGATTCACTGTTCAATCTATATTGGAGTCACTGTTTGTACCGAGAAAACTGGGGGCGGAAGGCGCCAGCACCATCATACTTGCACAAGCCACGCGCTGCTTCTAAGACAACGTAGGGCTGCCATTGTGCTGTATCATGCTGTATCACATTGCCAGTCTTGAAGCTGCCCACGGTACAATACTATAGGGCCGAGGGTCATGCAGTCGGTCTCCAGGGTGTCGAAGTACAACCTGCGGCGACGAAAGCTGAGGATTTGTTACAAGTACATTGGATTGGTCATGCGGGTCAGCCACCATGGAGAGGGAGGACCAATTGAAAAGAAAGCAGCATAAGACAGCTTCCTGACTTGGTTCGCTACTATCTATATAACTTAACTTGACCCTAACTTTGGTTGCTGTTGCAGTGCTTTTTCCTGGCCTTGTTTCCACAGGAAACTTCATGACTTGTGACCTTCACAATGAAGGGATCTAGAGTCACTTTACCACAGGATATCTTTGCCAACGGAAGTGGCCATGGGCATCTACAGATGGATTTGTTGTAGGGTACTTTCAAAGTACTTTCCTGCTTCTTGCCTGGCAGACTCGGAAGGAACATTTGCCATGATGAAGGTGATCCTTCAAACTCTACGCCACACTAATCACGAAGACTCTACCAGCGAGGAAGATACCGATGAGGCCAGCAGGAAAGCGCGTGAGAAGCCAGTTCAGGCTGTTCAGGCTGTTCCCTCCCTTTTTCTCGCTCAACAAGGGATCCAGCATTGTTCAACTGGGTCTTGAAAGCTCAGCTTGTGCAAGCAGGTAGCATTTGTTTTGTTATTTCTGTCAGGAGATGACTGGAATTGGCAGCAACCCGGAGCGTGGATCCTGCCAACAGAGCGTGGAACTTTGGCTGCAGGGCCGAGAGATTTTCCTTCCGGTTGGCATCCTTGTCACCGCATTCGTGCATTCATGATGGCTCCTTGTGGCAGACATTTCCCGCAAAAAACTGAAGATAAGCTTGGTCAATAAGTTCGAAGATCCACCCCATGAACCACATTTGCATACACACTTGCTTGGCGAAGCTCTTTGGCCAGTGGCTCTTTAGTGAGTCCTTCTACAGCTCAAAACTTCCATGAGACAGGGGTGAAGATGTCATGGTTGACAAAGGTCTAGCGTGGACTGACAGGCGTTTATGTTTGATGCATCGCACAACTTTGTTTTCTGCACGTCTACGTCTACGTGAGGTTCTCTTCCTTGGCGTAGTGAGCTGCTCTATGCTTGTTGGTGATGGGGTCATTACCCCACCCAACTCAGTGCTGGGTGCCTTGAGACTAGCCAGGATTCAGCTATAAATGCCAGTACTTCTACGTCGTATGCTCAACCTGATGCATTGGTTCGAACATGCTGCACATGTTTCCCGACATTTCGCGGGTCCTATTCTTGAGTGTGATCTGTTTTGGTCCATGTAGCTGCGCTACACTGCCTCCGAGCTTGGCCTTCCAAGGAACAGCCCGTGCTTGCAAGTTTCCGAGAGCTGGAATGTCTTCATAGCAGTCATGATCCTCCTTGGAGGCTTGACGTGGTTAACAGGCATGCTCGGCGTGCCCGTTTCTATTTGATCACTTAGCCATTAAATTATATATATATAGAGAGAGAGATTCTAAATAACGTATAGAGCCATGTTTGCTATACCCTCTCAACAACCTGGGCATCCAAGGAGTCTTTGGCTTGCAGCGTGTTGGCTCTCGTATTATTGGTTGGATTGCGGGGCCACTTATGGTGCTTTGGTTCTTGACAATTGCTGCCATGGGCATTTACCAAATTGCCATGAACCCTGAGCTACTTGGTAATGGAGACGTTTTGCCTGTGCATCAAAGCTAGGCTCCATCAGCCTTCCGTGCCCAAAAAATGCACATGTGCTTTTGCTTTGAAGACCAGGGATGTTTTCTGTAACTCCTGCGGGCACAAGATGCTGGTCTAAGGCTTGCTGCTTATATGGCCCATGGCTTCAGCCCAGTCACTGGACCAAGGTATACGGGTTTTATATGTAGGAGCAAAGAAGCTACTAGGGGCTCCTGGCATCGCTACTAGGAGCAAGGACGCTACTAGGGGCTCCTGGCCGTACTACTAGGAACAAGAAGCTACTAGGCACATTTGTATATCAGTAACATATAACTCAGTGATTTGGGCGTTCGGCAAGGGACAGGCCTCACTTGAGGGACCTCATTGCCGGGTAGTGGTGGGCAACTTGATTGTGGACACCATGCCCTTGGCACTGTTCCCCTGCCTAGCCAAATATGTTACGCTTTTGGCATGCTGCGATCCAAGAGAGGGTTGCAAGAAGTGTGCCACCGAAGCTGAGGTGAAACTGTATCATTTCTTCGTTTTGGGCGAGTTCCGTGGCTTTCGTGCATACCGGGCAATTGCAGGAGTGGTCTTGTGCGTCACAGGAGCAGAAGCACTTTATGCTGATATGGGGCATTTCGGAGCAGGCCTGATGCAGCTGGGGTCAAAGTTCCATTGAACGCATTTGAAAGCGACTTTGTTGCCTATGCTTTTCAACAGCTACTAGTTACTAGGGGCTCCTGGCATTGCTACTAGGAGCAAGGACGCTACTAGGGGCACCTGGCCGTACTACTAGGAACAAGATGCTACTAGGCACATCGCATTTCATATCGCACCACCCTACTGGCCCCATAAGATTGTTGTTTTTCTTTGTTGCAGTGTTGAGCTGAAAGCCAAGAGCTCAACAGCCTTTGCATACAGGTCCTATTACTACTGCGTGGTTCTTCTTGGTCTGGCCATGTCTCACTTTGCAATATTTTGGTCAAGCAATTGTGCTTGCTGCAGATCCCACCCTCATCAACAGCAACCCTTTGTACAGTACAGCCACACGACTATTGGATGGTGGCAATTGGCTGAAGGGATTCTTCCAAATCATTGGCTTACCCCTGCCTCCACGGGCCCTATGCTGCTTTAGTCAATCAGTTCTGGTAGACATAGCCTAGATTACAGCTCTAGGATCAGGGCAGAAGACAGCTGCATTTGACCAAGACGTTGGTCGAAAGCCAACCTAGGTACCCAACTCTCTCATTTGGCCAGTATTCATTTTGGCAGCTTTGGCTGCCATCATCGCATCGCAGGCGCTTATCTCAGGAGATACCCTTTGAATGTCAATCGAGACAAGCACGCTCAGAGACGATTATACAGTGAAGTAGAACACAGCTAGATGCAGGGAAGGAACATGCAGCGATGCAGGGACTGTTGAACTTTTCCAGGAGTCTTCACCCTCATGTCCCAAGCGCATGCTTTGGGCTTGGTGCCACGGATTCTAGTGCTGCACACCAACCCAGATGAGAGAGGGCAGGCCGGGCGGGACATATGCAGGCTGTTCGATTTGTCACATTTTGGTACTTAAACCTGTTTGTACTTCATAGTTGGCTTGGCAGTCGAGCTGTTCATGACAGGGCCCAATGTGGCTCAAGGCCGAGGGGCAGGGGTCCTTTCTCGGCCATGTAGCTCTTCCAAATTTTTGGCGCAATCATAAGAATTGCTGTGCAGTCATGCCCGCATGCAGCTTCTTTGTCTTTTGTGTGGCTGCGTTGGGTGTGGTTGAGGGAGAGCTTGTCACAAATGAGGATGCCACATTCATCCAGCTTGGCGGCCAATTCTCATATCTTCAGGACGACTGCGATAGCTATGACACCCCAATGTGGAACTCCAAACGGGATTTGGCAAACATATCGCATTCCTTCATCAGTTTGGACAGCAGCCTTTCCTTGCATCTCTGGAGTGCCGTCCCCCACTTTGGGCCTCAAGCCAGCTACATGGCTTTGATTGCTTCGATTCAAGGTGCGGGATCTCCAAGTGAGAACGAAACGCTCCAGCTTCAGGGGTTTTTGGAAAAGACTTCCTTGTTCTGCACCGGTGCCAATGGATCCCACCCGGAGAAACTACGCCTAGCTTCATCCAAGCATATTCTGATTCTGCAGTGTGATTGGCCGAAAGCAGAGTCGGGCCTTGGGAAGCACCACATTTGGCTGGCTCATGCCAATGGAACCGTTGTTGGAGAAGTCAATGCTAGTCATGAGCCGTCCCTTTTGAAGCAGTATAGAACTATGGCTTGTGTGCGAAATCTATGGAACAATCCTGTGCTGAATGTATCAGGCCTCTTGGTTTTCCCACAGTGGCTTGACTTTCATTACATCCACGGAATCGACCATTTCATTGTTTACACTACAAGTGACATGTCGGAAGCACTGCCAGAGCTGTACCAACCATATATTGATGCAGGTCTTGTCACCCGAGTTCACCTGAATCTCCCAGCAGAGAGATGTTGGCCGTCTCAGTCGTCTCCTTTGGCACTGCGACAGATCATTTCGAATGACTGCCTTTACCGTGCAAAAGGACATGCCAAGTGGTTGATACCAAGCCTCGATGTAGACGAGTATTTGCAAGTCAGGTTGCTGGATCATGATGTGACTGGAATGCTGGAAGCTGCCAGCAGGAGTTTCCGTGCACCTTCGCAGCGAGTGGCTGGCGTGGCCTTCGAGAGATACCGCTTTGCGAGAGCACCATCTGGTCATGTGGAGATCGCATCACCTCGCTATTGCAATTTGTCTGAGCCAACGCTGAAATATGCAGTGAAACCCGATCTTACGGATGACGTGGACATCTCAGTGTCGGCTGGTCTGAAGGGAGTGGTGTATGACTTCGACAAGCGCTTTGCTGTGATCAACCACTATCGACACCCCAAGTCTCATGAGATCCGGCAGCACCAGATAGCAAACTCCACAGATGAGTCCCTTCTTCAGGACGTGCCCAGTCTTGAAATGGCCATGCAGAAACGGTATGGGAATCTATGGCGGCGTTTCCTTGAGACCATGAAGCAGGCACCAGAGCCTCCATGTAGAAATGATCCCAAGCAGGGACGCCATCCCCTCCGTTCCGAAATCATGGAACCACTGGAGCTTCGCCAGCTTAGCTGAGGAAAGAAGACGCCAAGCAGGACTAGTGAGCAATTTGTGCAACCACTTCCGGTCACCTCATACGTGCATACATTTGAATCCCAAAGAAGGCATCAGGAATCAAAGGTGATTCTGATAACTGATAGCTTCAATATGTGGTCGTGATATGACATTTGTGATTCCATGTGTAGCCGCCAGCTTCTGGATGGCTGGCTCAACTTTTGTATGCAAGATGCACGCAAGGTCTACATTCCTGAAATCAACTGGCTATTGATGATTGCTTGTATCCTCGTTACTGTGGCATTCAAAACTTCAGATGCACTGGTTTCTGCTGCTCGGCAAGGTGAAGCAGCATGATGGGCAGGTGATCAAGTTCACACACCCGACACACAATGCAATATGCGGACACAGACACAGCACATGTTCAAGCAATGTTGAACACGAAAAAATACCTTTTCAAACACACATGGATAAGTCGCAATTCGTTGAGCACAGGCGTACACACCACACAAAGGCAAACACAGAGGGCGCTTTTTGTATTCTTGTTGTTTGCCGTTTTTGTGCGGAAAGATGTGCGCTGACTGAAGTTGGGACCGTGAGAAGGCCCTTTCAGTTGAGGGTTCGCTCAGCACCAATCAACGCGCCAAGGCCTATGGCATTGCTGTGACGGGAGCCTTCATTTTTACCACACTCTTGCGCCTTGGCATCAGCTACACATCGCTTGACAGACAAGCCACAGATCAGCGACCAACTCAGGCTTTGCTTTGTGTTCCATTATGTATGGAAGTGCTGTTGGGCCGTTACGCTGCTGGCAATTCTGCCCATGCTGATGATCGACCTTGTTTTTTGGCAGCTTACCTGGAATCAAACGCAGCTGCATCATTTTGTACTTGTCGCAGTCATGGCAATGAGACCTTGCCAATGAATGTCATTTGGACTCCATTACCTACTTGCTCGATTTTCGACACACGGGGCTTTAGCATCCAGTGACAGCTGCTGGCTGCGCAAGGACTGCAAACTTGATGAAGGTTTTACAAGCTGGCTGGGCCACTGGAACTGCAATATGCTGATGTAGTTGTACATTCATTTCTTCGTTGCTTGGCTGTGGGGGGTATGGGGAGCATGATGCTTGCAGGTTCCCTTGGTGCTCTCTGGCCTTATTTATTTCTTGATGTACTCCCATCATTGGGGCCGCAATCGTGAATTGGCTAATCACATCCATGAGGAGCGTGGCGCCCCACTGATGACTGATGTCGCAGGAAGTCTTTGAGTACCACAGGGTGGGTAAGCCGCCGAAAGTATTTGGAATGACTTGGTAAACTGCTGAGTTACCTTGTCTATCCTTATCTTGAACTCTTTGGTGGGGATTTGCATGTCATGTGCACATGCAATCTGGCGGCCAGCTGGCCAAGTTGCTGTCACATTGCCAGGAGGAGGAGGAGCTAGCCAATCTTCATCGACACTCAAAGGTTTCCTGGCCAATGTTTCGAACCAGCCACGCTGCCCCACGCAGCTGGAATGACATGAAATTCAGCAACGCAGCCCGCAGCTCCCACGCATACCATAGGAAGCGCAGGTGATTGTTTGGAAGCCTTTGAGGTGATGAGTCAATGTCCAGGTAGGCTTGAAGGAGTCTTCGGCCAGCGGACTAGGAGGAGCAGACATTTCAAGATGATTCAAGCCTTTCTCGCGCGGCATCTTGAACATGACTCATGCTTAGCCCTCCCTTACCTTGCTTTAATAAGGAGGCTATTGAAAATGACCAGCTGAAAGACGGCTGCCCCACTAGATCAATGTTTTATTGCCGCGTAGTCGCCAGGAATGCGAGTGGTTTGTCAGTTCATGCCCAGATTCCACACAACCTCTTGCCGCAAGGCTGGCTCTCGCAGCTCGTGCTGCACCGTGTGGGGCTTGCGGCGGCACTTGGCTTCAAGAGATTTGGCAAGGCCTGATGGCACTGCCTTCTTCTTGACTCCCAAGGAGCGGGACGGCAGAGATATGCAGTGGGCCCCCCCTGGCTTTCTACGATTTTTGTTGTTACTGTTCATGTTGTTTTTATCGAAGAGATGGTTGGATGTTTCATCATGTTTCATCATCCACACGTAATTCATGTTGGCATCGTGTTTGTGCAACAGGGTGCTCCTGGAAGCTTTCAAGGATTTCAAGGTAGTTGAAGCACGTTGCAGTTCTGAATCAATGGAGGAGGGCCGTGTGCCTTCGAGCGTCAACGTGCTCATCAATGAGTTGGGCTCAGTGCCCAGGCCCGGCGGAACATGACATGGAGTTGATGCTGCCTAAAGACATCTCGAGTGACATTTCATTTTGGAATCAACTCAATTTGGGTGACTCGAGTGACTCCTCCAAGGAGGTTGCATGTCAGTGGTCGGCATAAGTACCGCAATGAATTACTGTAATTAACAAGTCTTTCAGCAACTAGCGATTGCTCGCTCTCATGCATGGCCCATGAGCCCATAATACTGCTCAATTTTGGAGTGGGCAGTTTGTTGCAAGCTCTCTACCAAAACTACTGCTTGCAAGCATGGGACAGGTACTGTAGGTAGTGTGTTCAGTACTTGCATTCAGCGCGCCTGTCTCCTGCCAAAGGTCAAGATTTTTCAGAATTAATTACAGTCCAAGTCCAAGCCTAGTGATTAGTTTAGTTGGGTTCCTTTCGGATTGGGTTGATTCCAGATACTTTTCACTCTTGGGAACAAGGGTCACACCCGGAGGAGTTTTGTTCTTCGTGCAGAGATTAGCACATGGAAGGGAAGTTCAAGAGAACGTGGAAAAACAAAAAAGACAATGATAGAAGAGGAATACATTTCTCGGAAACGGGCAATGACAGGGAAGAGGCCGAGGCGAATAAAAGACACAGCAAAATGACATGGGACAGTTCAAAGGAGAAGGAAAATGAACAGGAACACGGGAAGGGCAATTGAGCACGAAACTTCAAAAAGGACAGTGACAAAGACATGCCAGACCACGGCCAGTGGGAGGATAAATCAAGGAGGACGAAAATGGGACCATTCTATCCTACTTTCAGAGCAGGATAGAGAGGTCCAGAGCAAGCAGATTGACCCTCTATCATGGTTTCGAGGATGCAGTATCCAGATACACTCCCGAAAACTAACATAGACCCTGACAATGGTCCCCTGGAAGACTATATTCCTCTACCAACCAGGGGTTTTCAGGTTCCATGTTAGTCTTCCAGGGTGCGTGGAGCACATAGCCCAAGCCAAGAGGACCTTCAAGAGATCTAGAGAGCTTCAGAGATAATTATCTAGATGAGTGTAGCCGTTTAGATATCCCGTGATATACCATTGGCAGTAGAGTTCGGAAGAGCAAGAGAAAAACACAATGGTCAAGAAAATAGGTCCAGCAGCTAGCAGGAAAGGGCAGCTCAAAGAAGTTGAAAGGAAGAGCAGCTGGTACTGGTAAAGAAATCAAGATTTGCAGTTCAAAAGAAAGAACCTAAAAAGACATAACACGACAGTTTGTGAAGAAAGGCGAGCGACTGTGCCACCGAGAAGGTGACTTTTGGATCCATGGCCCATGGTGTTCTACTACTCAGACATTCTCCGGCAGATCCTCCAACGTTAAATAACATCAAATAACTACATGCACAGATTCCTCCTGTTTGTAACTCTGTCGGTTACCATCGGATGCTTTGCCGGGCAATTTTAGTCTTTAGGGGTGTCCAAATGCAGCTAAAGGAACCCAAGTGTCAGTGAAGATCCTTGTGCGGTTGGGATGTGGCATGATGTAGCTGGGTGCCAGCTAAACATTGCCCTTTTGAATCCTGCTTTGGAGCATGCGCTGGGCAGGACTCTTGTGTTGCTGCATGTTGCCTATTCTGAAGAGCCCTTTGTCGCTGAGTCAGAACGACTTAAGTGGTCGACGGTGGACAGAGGACTAGGCCGGAAGTGGAATGGAACAACCTTTAGCTGGCATCACAGCCGTGTGACTAGTTGGAACCACAATCAAACTTGACGGTGTGTTTTTGTTTGGCCAGAAAGTGCCATGAGTCCAACGTGCTACTGGCGGCATCGGGCTGTGGCAAAGGCATAGAATTATCACCACCATTAATTGATAAAATGGACTTGTCACTCCAGTGGCGAAACGAGGCATCCGTACCTCTGCAGCAGGTCTGCACACGGCTACATTGAGCTTTGGCTATGCGGAACCACTGACGGCAGCTCGCTTTGACCTCGATTCCAAGCTGGCATTCCTGACTCAGGCTCGTTCGTGATGTGGCACAAGTGCATTCTGTTTGATAGTACTACTACGGCCTGTGATGCTGCTTGCTCCCCTTGTTGATAAAAGAGATTCCGCCTGCGGAGAGATACTGAAGGCCCTATCATTTTGTACAGACCGGTATTCCTATGATACTATTGCACCCTCCATGACACCTTGGTACTTAGCCGATGCTTGCAAAAGTTTGTCCTTGGGCCATGGCCCACACGCCAGGACCACATAACTCGTTCAAAGACTGCACCCGCTGGGCGTGCCATGGCACAAACCTGAAAAGTCCTGAAACATCGAGATACTACTGTAATTACAAAAGCTCTCTTTTGTTCCATGCATTGCCGCTTCCGGAACGCAAAGGTCAGGTTTATATATAGAAAAATACTTGACTGCATTGTAGCCAACAGTTCCCCAGTGTATAGCTGTTGTGTATGTTGCGGATGTACCGGCACGCCGCTTTGCGCATACAGTATCTTGGGCACCTGGTGCAGTGTAGTCTGAGGCATTGATGAAGAAGGCAATTTGACTTTTGGGAAAGTACGTGCCGATCCTCATGTCACCTACATTGCCCTTTGGCGTGGCGAGAGTTTGTACTGCTTTTGTGGGAGAACGGGACAAACAGAAACGATCGATCACCCTGAAAACGGGCTCTTCGAAGACGGAGTTGAACAGCAAGCCCAAGCGCGGCATTCAGGCAAGCCACTCCGAGTTTTTGTTCAGGTCACATGTTTGGCAAGTGGCAGGGCATTGTAAAGAGCTTCTTTGTACGTTGCCAAGGGCTTACAAGCTCCTCCACGCCTGTCACTTCCAGTCAATTTGAAGAGAATTGGATAGAATTGGATCACATCACTCCACTTTGGTCACTGGTCTCACTGCGCATGACATGTGTCACTTTGGATGTTTGAGATTCAGTGACGTAGCAACGGTGAGGCAATGACAATGCTGTGAAGCTGATGCCGATGTTGTGCAGCCAGTGATGCTGAAATGAAATCGATGATGCATACGACGTACGAATTCAACTTGTTGTGAAAGCAATGACAAAGTGGCATAATGTGGCGATGTTGATATTGATGGCTACCTTTGAATTTCGATGACAATTCTGTGACAGCGTCGGTCATTTAGAGAGGATGACAGTATTGACTGGCAAAATGACAACTTTTATTAATTATGCATCCAACCAGGATAAACGATGCAAGCCATAATGTGAAAGGCACCATACTGGCAGACCTGGAGGTGTGAAAACAAAGACAAAATCCCCGTGAACCTGGGTTTCCATGCAGGTTCAACATAGTGCGGTCACACATTTTTAGGTCACACACAGGTAAGGACTCCACGATTTGCAGGGTCACGGCATCACCTCTTCGGCATGTTTCGCCAGACCGCCCAGAGATGGACTCAGGTGAACAGTAAGCGCTTCGTAGCGGCGGAGGACAGCTGCCTTGCAAGGGCACAAGTGGCGATATTCTCTTTGCTGAATCGTGGCATGGTGGAGTTGATGCCTCTTTGGTGTAGGGACCACATATATATATATATATATGTACCAAGCAGGAAGTGCTTGTTGACAGGAATTCGCAATTGAAACAGCTCTGAAGTTATCTGAGGTAACAGCCAATCTCCGGTGTCCTTTTTTGGCCTCCAGGGGCAGTCCGTCTTGGAAGTTTCAGCTGTTGCAGAGCTCTGACACCATCGTTTGTTGAAGTGCTCTTTGATGTGAAGAGCAAAAAGCTGGACTGAAACGTCATTGCGTGATGGGTTGACAACATGTCCTTGACTTTGACTTGGCCTGAAGCGAGACGTGGTTAATCTAAGATAATCTAAGTATGTTACATGATTGAAGCACCAAAGCATGCCAGAGCGGTTTTTTTACCCCCTTAAAAGAGCACGACATCGCCCATCTCATCTCTTGCCTTCGTCCCTTGGATGTTCATGTTTGTCATGGCAAGGGGCATTACTGTGAGACGACAGCCAACTGGTATTGCAGTTGCCTGTGCCAAACTGGTCATGCATCCCACCTGAGCTGCTTCCATCAAGTTCAGCACCGGTTCAATCTGCGTTCGACACTTATATAAAAAGATATAGACATAGATATAAATAGACAATAGACAGCTGCTTATTGTTTTAATGTGGAGTTGCAAGATTGAGTTGACCTCGAGCCCGTTGATCACATTGACATGCCTCTAGAACTTTAGAGCCCAATCTTTTTGCTCTACCCGAGCAGGGAGCAATAAGCAACATCCAAGAGTGACTGGCCCTTTGTTGCGTGCAGCCATGGTGCTGCAACCTCCAATCTGGGTTTGAGACTGATATTCGAAGGGTCAGTGTGGGGTGTTCAGGATCCTGCGGATTTCCAACTGCCACCGGTTTCAGGTTTTTCAGGTCAACCTTCCGAGGCCGACTTGCGCCCTGGTGTGGATCCCCTGCTGGGTGGGCCACAGCTGCTGGCACCAGGGCCCTGCTTCTCACGGCCCATCTCTCCAGGCAAGCAAGGGCCGAAGCATTCTTAGCAGAGAGGAGCGAGATTTTCTTAGCTGCTTAGCGGTGTTGATTGTAAGCATTGCCCGAAGATGCATGCTTGACCTATGAGCAATGTAGGCATGCCACCACGCATTACGCCGGTCTGGAACTAGGTCCGGCATATCCTCTTGGGTGAACAATGAGTAGTGATACACACACTTTGCGCAGACATATTGCATTTAGACATGTTACATGCTTGGATTTTCACAGGTCTGGTTGGTACTCTTAGCACCTATAATCAGCCATAGAGTCTTCGAACTGCCAAACTCTCGAGTAGAGAAGTCAACACAAGTCAACTGAATGCACTGCGGGAGATGCTGAGGTTGGCCCTTTGTGGACACCGGTCTCCGGTCCGATGCCCCCAGTGCAGCTCCCTTGGCCTGGACCAGGGTCTGGCTCTGGTGCTGCTCTAAGACTTGCAGATATGTTCTTTAGAATCCATGACTCTCGAGGCATGCTGAAGACATGCTGGGGAGAGTGTGAGAAGACATGTGGAAGACATGTGGGCAGCTTTCCAGACTTGCATGCAGCGTGGCATTGCCTGACCTCACTCGTGCAATTTAAAATCATTGTAAGATGACAGTTCACAGAATCGCCATCGAGCAATGTGCCACTTCAGGTGAGCCACAGCTGCAGGCAGATGATAACACGCAACCATATTCTACAGCTTACTGTTACCATATGCAACTAATTAAGTTTCCTCATTCTTTCACCTGCTTTCTTTGGCTTCTCCTGTTCCTTCCGATTTTGGGCTTGCCATTCTTCAGATCTTGCCTCCGATGCCACGAGTTGGCAAGGACCAAGTCGGGAGAGCGGACACGCTTGACATTTTGCAGCCTTGGCAACCTTACCGGGCCCAGTGGGAAGATAGGAACATAGCTTAGATAGATATTGTACTAGCAATGCCAGCAACGTCTACCATGAAGTGTGCCTGTTGTGAAAGATCATGCAGACACATGCTACTACTACTTTGTTCTATTGCACTGCATCCTAGCATAACAGGAGGTGTTGCTTTGTCATCTCCAGGAGTCATTGGCTTTGGGCACATTCCATCCATCGACGCTATCGACGCTTGGTTGGAAAGAGGGATGCCAAGGCCACATTGTATTTGCTGTGCAGGAGTATAGTAGGAGCAAGAAGCTACTAGTAGCTCCGGGCATCGCTACTAGGAACCTGGGCATCGCTACTAGGAGCAAGGACGCTACTAGTGGTTCCTGGCCTTACTACTAGTAGCAAGAAGCTAGGTGAGGCGTCATGCTGTGATTCGTGCCTGTAAGGCGTGGGGCCATTGGGTCATATCGGATGCAAGTTCAAGCAATTTTTTGTTCTTGCAAGCGCATGCTTTGATGAGAAGAGCCTAGACATTTCAATCATGATCATTCACTACTTAGGCCGCGAAAGTTCAATTTGCCAGTGGCCTAGGCCTAGGTCTGGTTTTAGGAGAGCACGCTGGACATCTCATAGATTTGATGGTATGAAAATGATGAGCAGCAGCATTTTTGAGCAAGGCATTGTGTTTGCAATCCGTGTGGTCGTCCTTGGTTTGCTAAAGATTTGCTGTGTCACTCCTGGTCCTAGGCCAGAGGATTTGCTCTCTCGTATTGAAGGTGATGACCTTGGTTGGGTGAAAAAGACGCAGTTTGAACTGGTTGAGCCATAGGACATGAAGAAGAGCTATCAGGGAGGGGTTGACAAAGAAACAGATCTGGGAAACAAGGATGGTGGAATAAGATCTTTGACAACATTTGTTTCTGTCCTGCGACCTGCAATCCAATGAAGCACTCCCCGCTTTTTGATCCCGAGTATCAGTATGGTTGAGAGCTATTTGAGCATTATCAACATTTTGCACTCAGCTGCGTGTTGAGTTAGATAGACCCAGGATGCACCATGCATCTTCCCCTGCTCTCCACAGTGAGGCTGTGTTTTCTGTTTTCTCGAAAAAGGCCTGAAGTCCGCGGAGTCCGCGGTGTTGTCTTCCAGGTGTGGTCACGAACATGGAAAAGAATGTCGCTGAAGAGCAGAGGCGGATCTTGATGGATCCCAAAGTTGGGAAATCAAGATTGTGTTCAAAACAGCCACCATGCACATGGGAGTATCAGATGATCGTGTGTTGGATTGAGAGATGGACATATGACAAGCAGTTCATCAGGTGGTATTTGTTTAATTTCCGGCGCCATTTCATCTTTGGTAGAAATGATAAGAGGACCTGATTCATTTCTATTCGATGGCAGTAGCATGTGAAAATCTTTGACATCCTTTTGGCTTCGTCGATTCTTGTCAAACTTGAAACAACCTTTTTCGGTCAGGCTACGCATCTCCGAGGCTTGGATTCGGGACATGTAGACACGAGACATCTCTGAAGATTCTCTGTGCAATTCAATGATCCATCATATCGGATCCACCGACACGTTTACTCTGAAACCTCAGCAGTCCAACACGCAAGTGCCACAGTGCACCGACAGTCAATCTAATGGTCAATCAGAATAGTTGGCGGATGTTGGTGGCAAGGCTGAATACTGAATCTACGTCACATGGGTGTGAACAGATGCCGAGGCCGTTTGCAGCTCCTGCGGGGCAGTTGGGAGCTTCAGAGTACGGCTTTTAATGTGAAGGATGGATATAAATAGGCATTTCAAATTTCAGGTACGTACGACAGTACGACATGTAGGAAACCAGACAAGATGGGCCACCTTGAGGTTTCAGTCGGGTTGTAGAAACTGAGCACAGCTGGCCGATGAAACCCGATTCTTGAGGCCATCGCTAGTAGTAACAAGAACGCTACTAGGGGCTCCTGGCATCGCTACTAGGAGCAAGGAAGATACTAGGGGCTCCTGGCTTTACTAATAGTAACACAAAGCTACTAGTCTATTTGTTCTTTTTCCGCTGTTTCTTATTTGCTGCAATGTCCGATTCTTGAGGCCCTGACCGGCGATGCACGGTTCTGTGATCGTTGTGGCCGGCAGCAGGTGGACCATGCTCCAGAGGCCTCACAAGAACCAATATGATATCTCTCAACCGAAGGCCGCAAACAAACCTGACCTAGTTCATCATCATATGCATTTATAATCATATATACAGTATACACATAACAAGTTCATTTATATCTTGGTTTCATGATGCTTCTAAGTTATTCGGGATCTCCCTCCTACACTTGCTGCAAGGCTGCAAGCGCATATGTCAGGACGATTTGGTCCAAAACCTCGCCCAGCGACTGGAAAGTTTGGAATCCCGGCGTCAGGCAGGGCATGCAAAGACTGGCTACTGGAGGATCCCCCGCCAAAAAAAGGCTTGTGTTTGTTTTGCCACTCCCTCAGAAGGCATGTACAGGCAAGTGCTACAAAAGTGTTCAGGATCCATCCCAAGAAGCCACACATTTGGGGCACAAGCGGTTTGCCTTTAAGATTTGCTGCCTTTGCACTTCCGACAGCTGCATGTGTTTCAGCACCTGGAGCCAACCCAGACTGACAATTCTGAACAGCCGGTCAGGTCGCAGAGCAGCGTTGGGGCCCAATGATGCTGCTCACTGTCCTCTTGACACACACAGTACAGCCGTACATATTTGCTTTAGTATGGTAAATCTATTCTCCTAATTGGCCAGGGCCAACATACTAGCTTTTCAAGAATTGGATGTCTTACTGTTCAAAACGCTCGCAATCAAGAATATGAATACATATCAATCAAATAATTTCCAGCAATGCAACCTCGCATCTCCAAAGCGTTTGATGATCAAGGCAATTGACCTATCTCAATTCATGTCAATTGAGCAAGAATTGGATGTTCAATAATATGTCAAGTTGTTGCCATGTTGTTGCCTTCTAGGCTTTGGAAGGTGTCAAGGGGCGTTAAGAGCAACTTGGCACCGAGGCGCTACCCAGTTGGAAGAGTTGCGGCGACTGGTGGCCGAAGGCCCTTCAGCAATCGATGCTGATCAAGCCGACCTTCATAAACTAGAAGTGTCAGAAGACTTTTGTTTTCTGGAAGTCGACTGTAAGTATTTGATTGCATTTAACATCATTTTACCAGTTCTGTGCCAGCTCCCTCTCCACTTGATTGCAGGACGGCACAAGCAGTACTTGACGCATTTCATCACCCTTGATGATCATGGTTTTGCCAGAGCCTTTGGAGATGATTCGATGATGTAAAGATCATGTCTCCTCACTCGCTCAAAGTACCACAAAATCTCGGCATGTCAAAGGGGCGGCTTGAGTTTGGAGCCCAGGACCTTCAAAAGCGCGAGAATGGTCCGGTGCCTAGACTGCTTGCTGCTCAAGGCGCTGACAAGGTGCCTTAAAGCATCAATCTGCCGCAATTAGCCATGTTAACCGGCCAACCTCAAATTGCATTTTCGATTGCCACCTGAAGCCTTGCTCTCGGGCAAAGACCAAACGAGAATGACATCCAGTTTGAAGGTTGAAGAGCTGTTTTTGTCCAGCTGAAAGGTGCGCAAAGAGAATGTTGGATTTTTTGCATGCTGTGCGAACGAGGTAGCGCAGCAAGCACGCAATCGACAGGCCTGTGGAAGGAGTGTGATTGCCCATTTGTCGTTGCTTTACAAGGTGAGGGCTTGCCGGATAGTAGGGTGGCGAAGGCCATCGCTAGCAGGTTGGAGGCCTTCACTTCTAGGGTGGAGGCCATCGCTTCTAGGGTGAAGGCCATCGCTACTAGGCTACTTGGGGCAGATTCTTTGGAGGTGCATCCTGTTGAGCCACAACTGCGCAGGGCATCGCGGGGCAGTATGACTAACAGAGAGATACACAGATAACCAGCCATGTATGCATCCCCGTCCTGGTGTGGCCATGTATTTTGGACAAACCCTTCTATCAATCGTCAGAGGCGATGTCTTGAGGCCAAGAATCAACAGGGGTATAACCTGGTGTGATTACCTCGCACAGGCAGCCGTGAAGTCAAAAGCGCTGAGGACTTGTGCCTCAATGGCAGCCTAGACATCTGCAAGAAATGGACCCAGACATGGGTGGTGAGAAGAGAGGCCGACATGAGCCATGAATATCCGAATAGCTAATGGGCTCCAATGGACGGTTTACGTTTGGAAATAGATATACACTACCTGCAGGTGCATGAACCTGTCCCAAAATTGGCCCAAATCTAGATCATTTGTAAAAGTAGGTGTCATCGATGGAGTTCTTCCAAAGTAACGAGCGGACTCGACTTGAGTAGCAGGACTCTCAGCTTCACGCTGCCTTGGCCCAAGTGGAAGACGCTTTCACCGAGGAGCTCAACGTCTTGGGTGTAGCAGGCCGAAGCCGAGGACGGTAGTCGTGTCATTTGACAGGACGGAGGGTGTGAGTTTCCTCTATTAACCATGGACCCTCGGGGTTCATGTTGGACTGTTGGACCATTTGCTAGAGGGCATTTTATAAACACATGCACCCGTGAGTTTCTATAGAATGCCACACTTCGAGGTCTGTGATTCTGTCAGACCAATGTTTGTTGTTTAATGGTAAAACCATTGGTTTTGTGTCAACAAACTTTGAGACGCCGGATTCTATAGAGGATTGGCGTTTGATGATTGCTCTCATCATCAAGGATTGTCACTCGAGGTACCTTGTTTTTATATTCAAACAATGTCAAGCGCCACTTTTACTTTTCCATGGTCTGTCGTATCGTGGAATCACACAATGACATAATGTTGAAACCTTCATGACCCGTTTGTTTCGTAAACTCCTGATTCTGTAGAACATTACAGAGGTACCTGGTGTGTGGTTTAATTTCGGGTGGAGAAGCCAAGTGTTCTGGTCTGGTGTTGGCTGAATGTGGCAATGGAATTTGATGGAAGTGGGTAGTAGAATAAAAGGGTAGATTCACCCAGCATGTGTAGGTAGAGAAGAATTTGGAGGTTCCAGGGGGGAATGGGAGTGAGGCCTTTTAGAACCCATGGATCCTGATTCTATAGTACTTGGCTGTTTGGAGAACACCGCGGACCTGCTATATGTTATCGGCTTGTGGCCTTGGGATAGCATGTTTTGTGAGGCCAAGATTGCAACAATGACGGCTGTGATTCTATAGTCTGAAGATGTCTGAAGCCGGGCCTATTTGTTCCTACCCTGTGATTGTCTATAGCTAGAATTTATGGTGGAAAACCCTGGGGCGGGCTCAAATCAGATTCGAATGACCACCCTCGCGGGGGGGGAAGATTTTCTGTGAATTCTCACGCCTATCCTTTTTGGCCTTAGCATGCCCTATTCCATGCCAACATCGGCGAAGCTGAAAGGTGCAGAGAGTCGCCTTCACGAGCGCCTCGAAAGACTACTGAAGGCGCCAAGGGATGAAGCGGCACTAGTAGCAATGGCCTCCAACCAAATAGCGATGGCCTCCACCTAGAAGCTTCTTGCTACTAGTAGTAATTGCCTCAAACCAAATAGCGATGGC